CCCAAAATATGGTACCCCTAATATAGCACCCTACATAATGGGATCCTTATTAAAGGGACCCCAAAATATGGTACCCCTAATATAGTACCCTACATAATAGGATCCTTATTATAGGGGCCCCAAAATAAGGCCCTAAACCCTAAACCCTAAACCCTAAACCATAATAAGGGCCCCAAAATAAGGTACCCCCTAATTTTCGGAAACTCCCCACCTATGTGCGAGGTGTTCAGGGACGAGCAGAGACTCCTCAGCTCCTGGGTATTTTTTCTAAATTAGGGTTTAGGGTTTAGGGTTTAGGGTTTAGGGTTTAGGGTTTAGGGTTTAGGGTTTAGGGTTTAGGGTTAAATTTTGGGGTCCTTATTATAAGGGTGCCGTACTATATTGGGGACCTACCAAGCGATCATATTTTAGAGAACTACCCTCCTGCACCTAAACTCTAAACCCTAAACCCTCCTGCACAGAATGGCTCGCGAAGTCCAGAGCCGCAATGCCAGACGGGCAATGCCCAGCACAGCTAATGAGAACCACCTCCACATCCTGACAAAAGGCTACTTAAAGGCTCATGGGACTTAGTAAGCAAGGGTATAAGTAAGGTTATACCGTTTAGGATTACCCTACCTGGGGCACCTCTGATCCCAATGATAACCCTAAGTAGGGGAGTTAAGGAGACACGACTCTGCAAGAAGCCTTTCAGCCCGTCCCCAACAGCTAGACATGCAACGGAAACCATAACCCTAAAGCCTAAACCCTAAGTAAAAGTGCATGGGGACTTCGGCTTCTAAGCTCCTGGTTCACGCTCGCCGGAAATTCTCGCTTGAAGGCTGCCTGTGCATCATACGTCTCTGTGCCCGGCACCGGCTCGAAAGTAAACTTGCAGTGGTCGATCAGCTGTAGACCAAAGGGCCCACAAACAGCAGCCAGCAAGAGCCAGCTGGCGAGCACCGTCCGTGGCCGATGGATACAAGCCACGCACAGCTTCTCCAGCGCATCCATGATGCTCAGTTGAGATCAGTGGCCAAACGCCCGAACTAATCCCGCATGAGCTTCCTAGATCTTCATCTCTGATGTAAACTCATTTATCACCCTGATCACGAAAACAGCAATAACAACAGCAACAATAACACATGCATGTGTATAGAAAACTGGTAACTATCACCAGTATTATGACTAGTAGCCGTAGCACAACTGGCCTTTACAATTGTTGTATCTATGTTGCAGCAGTTATCTGCATGTACGTTTGTGTGCGTATAAAAATCTATACATGTGTGTATGTATACATACATTCAGATATGTACATACATACAGATATGTATAGACCTGCCCTTCGGCGGTCTTCGAAAGTCTTGTCTGCACCCAGCTTGGTACAAGTGATCGCATGGTATGCTTCGTTGCACAATTCTTCTGGCTCTCTGAACCCACGAGCATGGCAAGCAAGGAAACACACCTGCCCAAGCCTCGGGAGAAAAGTTCGCGAAGAGTTGCCAACAGCACAGAAACGAAGACACGAACCGCGGCAGTCGCTCTGTAAGTGTGTGGCCAGCAACCGCTCGAGCATGTTCATGAGCACTGTGCCATTCCTGCAGAGCGGAGCCGCTCCAACCATACAATGGAAGGACAAGTGGCTGTATACTACAGTACTGGTAGGTTTTAGGGTTTAGGGTTTAGGGTGTAGGGTTTAGGGTTTAGGGTGTAGGGTTTAGGGTTAAGGGTTTAGGGCTTAACAAGTGGCTGCATAATACCGTATTACAAAAGCTCGATTCGTGTACTTGTCTACATGTTCAGCTATTCTCAAGAGTTGCCTCTACTTTCTGTTCGTAGATGTTCGTATGTCTATAGGCCCATACATGACATATATACGGGGAGACAGAGAGGCAGATAGCTCTCATGCAACAGGCTTGTATACTACTCCAAGTTCCGTGACTACATGTCATTCTACGGGAACCTGCCAGAGTGTCTTCCTTAGAAGTGCCACAGCGTCTTGTGTAACCTACGCCTTGCTACATGTCTGTAAATCTCTTGCAGTCTTACAAGGCCATGTCGCGCTTCATTGTCAACTCCCACATCAGTGGCTTGAAACCTTAACTCCGGGGTGGACAAGCCTTGTCACGATCTGCTTGAGGTTGAATGTCTTGAGCTTTTCTCTTTGCCTGCCATGGTCGGAGACGGTGTCGAATTTCAGGCGGAGGCTGCGTAGGGTCTGCAGCTCATTGGGGGCTAAGGGTTGAGGGCCCTAAACAATAAAACCTAAGCCCTAAGCCCTAAACCCTTAAACCCTAAACATCCCTGAACCCCAGCGACCAGCTGGACTGAACTGTCTTCACTTGGCCTATTCTGCAACAACGGTCGCCAGGTGTCGATAAATATATGCAGATACACACACGTATGTATATATATATATATAGACATACATATATGCATACGTACATAAATACATACATACATACATACATACATACATACATACATACATACATACATAGCAAGTACAGAGTTTTCTATGGTGTCGTGTTGAACTGTGCTCCTACTTGCGCTCATCCGTCTAGTGGCAGTGTATACTGCAGGAGCGAGTCCACACCACAAAAACAACTTGCCAAGAGTTCTCCTATTCCTAGAGCCAAGACCCTAAACTGCTCCCTCACTACTCTGCAACTTGGAAGCGGACGGCTCGAAAGCAGTTTTCAGATCCGAGAAGGGATCTGGCGTACTCCGAGTCTTGGTTTCCTGGCGAGTTTACGCTTAGTGTGTAAGGGTTCGGGAGTTTGGGGTATAGGGGTTCTAGGACCTGCGGCTTGGGTCTGGGGCTGGGCTAGCGGCTAGCGTGCTCTGAGATTCACTTCCTGCCTGTGCACAGGTTCATGAGTTCAACCACCTACTACAACTAAGTAGGTATGGGGGATGCCCTGAAAATGGACTGCCAAACAGACGCAGACCTCAAAAGCCACGAGAGACTAAGACCTTGGTGCTATCTGGAGCTTTGGCGCTCCAGCTGCACAATCCTTTCAGTGCAGGGATGACTCTAGTAACTAGTACCTGAGAGCCATGACGACGATTGAACTCTAACCCCAGACCCCCGAACCTAAACCCCAAACTCTAAAAACCCTAAGCCCGCAAACCTGAACCGAACTCCCCAAGCCCTGAACCCGAAACCTTACCCCAAAAGCGCTGAACCTTCAACCCTAGGACCTAAAAGCCCTGACCACCACAAGAAAATGACCTACGTACCCTTCGGAAAGCTCCTGGGAGCTGATCTTGGACGGCTTCCTTGCACAAGCAGCATTAGCTTAATCATACCAGTTTGTGCAAATATCAATCTTGCTATATCTCTCTCCCCATACATTTGTGTGTATACATACATACGTAACTACGTATAAACGTAAATACATATATATATGTATATAAACATACATACATACGTACATGCATTCATACATACATACATACATACATACATACATACATACATACATACATACATACATAAACATACATAAACACACATAAACATACATAAACATACATAAACATACATAAACATACATAAACATA